GCTCGCACCCGATCACGCGCGCATCGTCGCCTCGACCAAGTTCGCCGATACAGACACCATTGCCTTTTCCTACTCTTGTTTGGTACGCACCTTTACCTTCTTTTTATTTTTGTTGATTATTTATTCTTATTTTAATTATCTTGTTTTATTGTGCACAGCCCGTACAGTCAGACTGTGAGCCGCATACGCTGTTGAAGGTGGCCCTGGACGGGCTCTGGGTGCTCTTCGCGCCCGCGTTCTTCTCCCGCTTCTTCTACTTCATCGGTTCCCTCCGCTCGCCTCCGGAGCCACAGGACAAGTCCCGTCCGCCCCCGGTGCCCATGAAGTAAGACCCTCTCTGCCCCGCCTTATCTGCAGTTCACTCCTCTCAGCTACTGAACTGGTACTGTGCGTAATGTTGATGATGGTGATGATCATAGATTGGATGTCACGCTTCGGCAGCCTCTGCTGCAGATCCCACACTCGCCCGAGGAGCAGAGCCCGCAGGTGGCGCTGATCACAGGCGGATCCTTCTCCATCTCCAACCAGGCCTACTTCGATCAGAAGCCGGCCCCTGGTACTCCCCCCACCCCCGACACCGCACCTCTGGCATTGTTTCTTAAGATCCCCTGTCCTTTCTTTTAATGCACCAAAAGAACGAGGCATGCTGGAACAGTTTTGGTTCAAGCTTCGCAACGGCACCCTGCGCCTGGGCACGCTGCCGCTGTACGTGGCCGGCGACGCCCTCGACCGGTGGAAGGCCATTACGCGGGCCGTGGACATCGACTTGATGTTCGAACGACCACTCCACGATCCGCTCGGCACCTACCCCGTCCACAACGCCCTACTCAGCTTCCCATCCCCGGTATGTGCCCCACATACTCGCAATGACTGCACAATGCGCTGATGTTCTCTGGTGATGCAATGTTAGGTGCAATTTACTTCCGGCGAACGCGAAGCGGCGGCGGCGCTGCGAGCGGTTGAGGCCGTGCTCGCTGGTCTCTTCCACTTCTCCACGAACCCCATCATGCCAAGCATCGATCGCGCGTTTCCCTCTGCGCCTCCCCTCCCTCTTCCATCGTCGTCCAACCTCGCACCAGCGCCTGGTCGGCTCGAACTGAAGCGCTACCGAATCGACGTACCTTCTCTCGCCATTCTTCTTCATCTCGCTGGAGAGAAGCAAGGCTCCTACTCCTTCCTCTTCGAACACCTTCACGTCGACGTTTGGAAGAGCGAGCCCGCCGCGATGACCTGCCTCGTGCGCACGTCCTCCTTCTCCGTCAGCGATGCCTCCGCGCCGTCGACACCGATGCAGCTCTTGGCCATCACCAATCCCTCAGCCGAAGTGCTCGTTGCTGAGGGTCGGGAGCCGGTACGCTGCATTGCCCCCCTTTTTTCGGGCATTGTCCGCCATTGCGCTTCTGACGTACTATGTTCCACCACCCACCCGCCCGGCAGGAATCTGCGCTGCGGCTGAACTACGAGAGCGTCGGAGGTGCTGAGGGACACATGACGCAGAAGATCGACTTGAACATCGGTAGGGCCGAGGTACTCGTGCTCGAGCTTCCTGCCCTGTTCTCGGCGCTCGGGCAGCTTCGTCAGGTCCTGAACGCAGCCCTCGGTACGTTTCAGGTCCAAAACAGCAAAACTTTGTCATGAAGATAGCTCATCGCCCGCATTTTCTCTGGTTCTCTACGCTCAGCCAAAATGGGACCGCCCGTGGCGGTGGTCACGGTGGTCGACACTGTGACGTACAAGCTCGGCCTCAAGCAGTGCTCGGTGCTGGCGCCTCACCCGTTCCTTAACCCTCTCGCTCCCGACCGAAGCGGCAACGGAAAGGGAGGCACCGATGCGTCCCCTACCGGGCCGTCTGTGTTCTATGTTTGTCGGATGTCGGACATGCAGGTCGACATGCTCAAGGAGCTGCTGCCCTTCTCGTTTCCCATGACGGGGAGCTCCTCCAGCCTGTCTTCTTCCACCTCTTCGGCGTCCTCGTCCCACGTCTACGAGATAGGGGTACGGCACACACACCACCTTACGCTGCTGGCGCTCACCACTGTCGTCGCTGAATTGGAAATTCACTTTGTTTTTTGTTTCAACGCAGGCGGTGATGGAGGACTTTGAGTTTTGCAAATGCCAAGCCAGCTCCGCTGTGGTGCACCTGGGCAGTTTCATCGCCGGCGCTGCCGAGTCGGCTGTCCCCATTCTCGACCCTCTCAGCGGATCCCTGCGAGTCTCAACACGGGACGAGCTAGACATCACCTTCGACACTGGAGTACGACCATCACTTCCCTCTCTATCTTTGTCTTGATAATGGTCCATTAATCTTGTAAGAGTGGCGCTTCACTGCTTACTGACTCCTCTATTTTATGGGCATGTTTACAGCTTATTGGCGTCCACCTTGCCCTGCAAGACGTGAGCCCTCTTCAGGCGCTGCAGCAGCGGCTCCTTGGCATCTTCTCCGGTCCCAATGCCGCGGACTCCTCCTCGCAGCAGCAGCAACCTCGTCCTGCTGGCGCAGGGGAGGGCGCAGAACAGACGACCGACGATGAGGGAGAGGATGGTGATTGGGCATGCGCTGGGTGCACTCTCCTCAACCCGCCGCATTCGGCCACGTGCGTGCTCTGCGGCACGGCCCGAGTAGGGGAAGACCTGCATCCGTCGACGCAGCCGCCTGCCGCCGACGAGCCGCTGTACGACGACTGGACAGTGATCGCTCATTCGGACCATCACCAGCGTAGCGGAAGCGGCGCCGGCGCCGGCAACGTGGGAGAGCAGCGCTGGATGTGCGAGGGCTGTTCGATGCTCAACACTGCTTCAGCCCAAGCCTGCGCCATGTGCGAGAGGAGGAAAGACGCCACAGCAGCGCCATCATCGTCGTCGGCAGTCGTCGCCCAGTCATCCACAAAGCCGCCCAAAAAGAAGGTACTCGGCCCCCTCTGTTTTTGATGCCTGAGTGATGATTAATTCGATACTGACAAAAATGGGTCCTGTTGGCCTCCATCAACTCTGCAGCAGTCTGTGCGGGTGAGCCCACTCAACCTGCTGCTGGATGTGGTGGACGAAGACCTGGGCATTCCGCTCTACCAACTCACGGCGACGGCCAATCTGGTGGACATCGACAACCGCAACCACCATCTGGGACACATGAAGGCGGCGGTCTCCCTCAGCGACGTGACGATCCACTACTTCAACTGGTACAAGGAGATCAATGAGACCCTGCTCGAACCGTGGAACTTGCAGGTCAAGATTATGAGGCACCCGCGCCTGCCCACCAAGATCGTCCTCCAATCGTCGGGCAAGATGGAGCTCAACCTCACCCGGCCCTTCCTCGAAATGACCTCCCGCGTGCTGAGCGAGAAGAAGTGGGTCACCGACGATTCGTCCTCCTTGTCGTCGTCATCATTGTCATCATCGCCCTCCTCAACCGCGACTGCCGAGAATAGGTACATACCCTCTGCATTCTCACCACCACCACCACCCCTCTATAGTCATAATCAAGCTCACTCGTTCATTTCGCTGCTGTAGGGTAGCCATTGTTCGTCCCCAGCACTCGGTGAGCCGCGGTCAGACACTCGCAATCATCCGGAACGAGACTGGCGTGGAAATGCTCTTCTTCATTCACGATCCTGCCCGCAGCGGCACCGGAGGACAACAGTCTGCTCTTGTCGACTCGAGTGCAGCTGCCCAGAGGGTACCGTTTGATTGCTAGATTTACTATTTTATTTATGTATTTATTTTATTGTATTTTAATGTTTGTTTTTTTTTAAACAGGAATGGATTCGGTTGGCATCGGGCGAGGAACGAGGCGTGAAGCTACCATCGTCGGTCAGGCGCGTGCGCGGTAGTGCCCGTGGGCGCTCCGCCGCGGGCTTTAGTACCGCCACGCTCTCGGTCAAGCTCGACGGGCCCTTCAAGCTCCTTCACAGCCTGCCGCTCCATCCTCCCGGTACGCTTCATGTAATTGAAGCCGTTCGCGCCATCGTTGAACGCGCTCACGTTGCATTGCAGGCAAGTCGACGCTCAATGTCGCCCCGGAGGGGAGGAAACCGTTGAGCGTACTTTATCATATCGGCCACCGCCGCGGCTCCAAGTTCATCTGCATCCGGTACCTTGGCCACATCTTTTCTCTGCCTCTATGCCTCACCGTTCAGTAGTAGGTGTCACCATCATCTTATTAATGGCAACCATGACCTTCGCTCCATCAGGTCTCCACTTCAAATCAACAACTACACCAAGTTTGCCATGCGCGTTCTGGTGCAGCTGCCGCCGCCGCTCCATGCGCTCGAAATGACCTGCCCCGAGCGCAGCAACGTCCCCATCCCACTCAGCATCGCTGCATCAGGTCAGTACACCCCCATCTTTGCTTGCATCTCGTCGGCAAACTCTCTTGATGATAGCGACGACGATGATGACGACGATGGCTGAATGCTGATGTTTGTGTGCAGAGGGAGTGATACGTGTGGCGCCGGTCGCACCCGAGGGGCAGCTGGGGTGGCTGTACAGCGACCAGGGTCTTCACTTCAAGGGCACCCACACGAAGCCCGACACCAAGTTCCTGACCTGCCGCTGGGCCGACTTGCCCAACTCTTCGCGCCCCGTGGTCGCGCCCCCGTTCGTGCTTCGCGTGGCTGTCAAGGAGGCCTCCGGGTCGCGACGTCTGCTCATCCTCCCGCCGCTCAAGCTGCACAACCTGCTCCATTGTGATATGCACTATCGGTGCGCCTGCCTCTGCTTGGGTGATTGGTGTGCGTGCGTGTGTATGTGTCGCGTGTGTGTCGTGTGTGTCGTATGATTGCCAGTGGCGAGGTCAGCGTGCTTGCGCCGCAGCCATCGCCACAGAAAAGTGAACAAGAGGGAGGGAGTCGAGACCTGTGCGTCGACGCTTTCCAAATTGAGTCTCACGAGTAACCCAATGCAGAGCGTTCGATGCGGAGACGAAGAAGTGCTTCAGCGCAATGATGAGCGGAACGCTTGTGCCAGGGCAGGAAACAGACCTTCACATCTTCGATGTCACCACGATGAAGACCCGGCTCGCGTTAACAATTCAGGTCACCCTCACCCTGCCAGCCAGCTAGCATTGCCGTTGTGTGTTTCTCATTCACATGACTTATTTGCCGAATTTGTTGTCCATTTCTTACTTCGTGTACTTGCAGATCTCCAACTTCCAGTGGAGCACGGGAGTCTTGGTGCACGGTCGTCAGAATGCAAAGTTCATCAGCATCCTGGACGACCAGCAGCAGCCCATACAGTACGGCTGCACCCTGTTTTACGCCATTACCAGCATTTTCAACGCACTTCGGTGGTGGGTCTCACCATACTAACGGGATGCGTTTCACACAACAGATTGCGCATGGTGCAGAAGAAGGACACTGGGGAGGTGTGCCACGTCCGGATTTTTGCCGACTACTGGCTTATCAACAAAACCGGCATCCGCCTCCACTATCTCCAGGTACGCACATCAACAGCATGTGTCTTGCTTCTCGCTTCTCGCGTCTCGCTTCTTCAACAAACCTGTTCATGTCGTACCTAGGGCGACCAGCACGAACGAACCCGCATTCCTGGCCAACCGAAGGTACCGCCCGCACACGCAGCACGACGACTCGAGGGCGATCCCCGCAACTGGTACGCACCGCTTCCCTGTTGAGGGTGGTAGGCCATGTCGTTGCCGGTCGGCAATGCTGCCCAATGTTGGATGCGTGGCGATGGTCAAGACGGCGGCGTTGACGCCGTGATAATGGTGTGAATCAGGTACAAGGAGGGAGCGCAGTGGGCCGCGCCGCAGCCGGAGACTCTCATGTTGTCGATGGCAGGCGGGGGCGGCAACTACTCGTCCTCGAGCCAGCAGCCGCCCCAGCAGCAGGTGTTCGTGCGTCTGGCCACGTCCCGCCTCTCGCCCGCGCTCAACCTCGCGGCCGGGGCGTCGGGCGTGCTGGCCCTCGAGGACCCCGCCACGCCCGCCGTCTTCCAGATCGCGGTGGCGGCGCACGAGGCACCCGGCCCCTTCTGGCGCACGCGCGTGGTCACCTTCGCGCCCTACCGGGTGCTGGTCAACCGGCTCAAGGTGCCGGTGGAGTATAGGCAGGCCGGCACGCAGGAGGTCTTCCGGCTGCTCCCCGACGAGGCCCTCCCGTGGCACTGGCCCGCACGCGACATCCGCCCGCGCCACCTCTGCGTGCGCCTGCTCGACCCGCCCTCCAAGTGGTCCGGCCCGTTCCTCGTCAACGTGCCGCAGCCCGTTACCTTCACCCTCAGGTCCGTCGCGACATGGTCCGCACACGACACGCACACGACACGCACACAACACACAACACACACAATATACAATGCAACACGACCACAACCAGCCGCCAACGCCGCCGTACCTTATCCTCTGTTTGTGTAGGCGCCAGCAGCAGCAGCAGAAGCAGGAGAGCAGCAAGCACCCGGTCCATCCACTGGTGCGGGTCGAGATCAGGCTGGCGGAGACGACCCAGTACATCATCCTGCGACCGGAGAACATGACCCACCCGCTCTACCGCATCGAGAACCTCTCCTCCTACTCCATCCTCCTCCGCCAGAAGCCTCGGGTACGCTTCCACGGGGAGTCCTTGCCGCCCCTTTGGCATCCTCATCATTTAACCATGCTCACCTTCGTCATCTTATCTTCCAATCTGCAGGAGCAACAGCCGAGCGGCCCCACAACGACGATGATCGAGGAGGTGCTGCCGCACTGCACGACTGCCTTCGGGTGGGACGACCCGACGCACGAGTGGACGGTCCACATGAAGATCCTCTCCCGTTCTCCCGACGCTCGGCACGTCGTCCTCAGCGTTCCCCTCAACGAGTTCAAAAGGTGCGCCTCTTCTTTTGATTTCATTATTTATTCATTTATTTATTATTATAAAATACTATGATTGTTAATTTTTCTTATCTTTTTTTCGCGTGATGGCAGGTATCCGCCGATTCAGACCTTCCAGCCGGTGGTGTTGCTGGTGGAAGTCCTGCCATCGGGTCCCACGACGATCCTCCGCATCTCGGAGGGAGCCTTGCGACGACGCGGCACGACCATGTACGATGCACTACTCTCGCCTTTGCATGTTGCCGCAGTGGGGCGGTGATGGCTGACGACTGAATGGGTGCGACAGGGAGATGGTGCGAAAGGAGCCGGAAGGGGCGCAGGAGCCGGTGGAGAGGCTGGCCTGGGAGGCGCAGGTGATGGTCGACAGCATCGTGCTGTCGCTGATCGACGACGCGTCGGGTCCACTGGTGCGGGCGGCCATCACCACGCCCTACCTCTACCTCTCCTCGTCGGACCTATACCACAAGGCCGAGCTCACCGTGCGCGACCTCCGCCTCCTCAACCTCCTCCCATCGACACCGTTCCCCACACTCCTCGCGCCCCTCCGACCACCGTCATCGTCGTCGTCGTCATCGTCATCTTCATCATCGCGAAGGGCCCTGTCGCAACGCTCGATGGCGGAGGTCAGCAACTTTGTCCACGTCACTGCGGTCAAGGCGCGCGGAGCGGGGGACATCGGGGCCGACTACTTCAAGTACGTCGGCGTCGCGGTGCAGCCGTTCGACATCAACGCCGAGGGCGCCATCCTGATGAAGCTCATGGACTTCAAGGACCGCGTGCTGCAGGGCCTCCTTCGGGCCACCTCGTCACCCGACTCGCCCGACACCAACGCCGCCGCGGCCCTCGCCCTACTCTTCCCTTCTGCGTCTTCGTCCTCTTCTTCTTCTTCTTCTTCTTCTTCTTCAACGCTATCGTCGTCCTGTCTCTTCGAGCCTCCCGCCATCACCGAGAACAAGTACGCACGCGTGCCCATTCTATGCAGATTAAGCAGCGCTGAACCGCACGCACGCACGCACGCGACACACACACCACACACAACACACACACACACACACACACACAACCACAACCACAACCACACTTCTGATACTTCTATAAATTTTTGTAGGGCGCTGTGTTTGGGCCAACTGGATCTGCACCCGGTGGCGTGCCGGCTGAGCTTCAAGTACGTCTCGGGCTTCGACTACTCCTCGCTCCACTCCATCTTGTCGTGGACCGGCGGCCTCGCCAACATCGACGCCGCGCCATTACGCTTCAAGTACCGCTCTCCACCCGCATCATGTGTCGTCGTCATCATGTCTCATCGCAAACATGTGGTGCTTCACACATCACAACAGTGCGCTGTTCGTGCGGAACACGCTGTCGACGCGGGAGGAGTTCGTGGAGCGGGTGAAGCGACACTACGCCGGCGAGGTGCAGCAGCAGATCGGCAAGCTGCTGGGCCATCTCTCGGTGCTCGGCGCTCCGCTCTCCTTCGTCACCGGCCTCGGCAGCAGCACTAGCGACCTCTTCCGCGAGTCCGCCAGGAGCGTCGTGCGGGTGCGTTCAATCCTGCTCTCCATGCCTGACCTTTACTGACACATTACACGACACCCACCTTAAAGAGCCCACACGAGTTTGGACGAGGGGCATCGCCTGCTGCAGCAGCTGCTGGGTCAGCATCATCTGCGGTAGAGCCTCGACCAGCCCGCGCGTCAATGTCGACCGCCGGCTTCCATGACGCCGTTGGCTTCGTCTTCGTCGACCTCTCGCGGCACCAGCAGCACCAGCAGCCTTGGAGGTCGTGCCGGAGGGCTGCGCCACTCGTCGGAAAGGGGCTCGAGCTCCTCCGCCGGCCTCCTGTCCCCTCGCTCGAGCGTCGATGCCCCACGCCTGCACCCTCAGGTACCCACCCATCACCTGCCACCACCCAACCATGGTCGCCCGCATTGTAATGGCCTACACCACGCATGCCGCCGAGCTCACCGCTTTTCATTACTTGACCAAGCAGAGGCAGCAGCAGGGGGAAGGCGGCTCGGTCGACTCGCTGTTGCAGTTGGCCGCACGGCCGCTTGCTGGAGTGCCCGGCCTCGTAGCCCACTCGGCCGGCGCCCTGGCCTCCACCGTCACATCCATGCTGCCGACGCGCGAGAGCCATCTGGTGTCAGGACGAGAGAGGACGCCCGCACACGGCCAACGCCCCAACGGAGCGGCCTCCCAAGCGCGACCTTCCTCTTGAGGACCACGGAGCGCACGAGACCTCTGTCTACTTTCGCCCTCCGGCATCCCTGAAAAATGGCCGCGGTGTGGTTGGTCCGGACGTTAAAAACAGAAAAAAACCGTTTATCCAGTCCAACACGAAACTGTCACCCCCGCACACCATCATGCCGACCACCGCGCCTTGCCTTTTCGTGCCTGCGCTACTACTGCTCGTCGTCGGCTCGGTGAGTGCCGAGACGGTCACCTTCTGCAGCGGCGGATGCAACACTGGCCGGCCACAGTCGTGCATCCCTGGCGTCGCCCACGGCAAGGCCCAGGTCGATACCTGCATCACTCAGCCGGGCGAGTACCGGGGCTCCTCTACCCCGAAGGCCTTCCAAGCCTACACCGTGCTAGCCGCCAACTTGACGCAGGGCAACCGCTCGTGCCAGGTCCTCCACATGGAGTTCTTCTACGGCGACACCTGCGACCAAAAGCAGCTGGTGGCCAACACCACCCCGTGCTATCACGATTGCTCGGATCAGCCCCTGTGCTGCTGGGCCATCTTCGCGCTGGAGGGGAGCAACTCGACCATCGGCGCCTACTTCCCCACGCCCGCGTCACCATCGCCCTCCCCGTCTCCCTCGCGGCGGCCTGATAACGATCCGGCCCTGCCCGAGTGGGCGATCGCCATCATTGCCTGCAGCGCAGTGGGAGCTGGCCTGTTGATACTGGTCGCCGCGCTCGTGGGCGTGTGCCTGTACCGCCGGCGGAACAGAGTGTCGTATGACTACCTCCCCTCCACCAACCATTACTGAACCTGAAACCTACAGCAGTAAAATAAAATAAAAACAAACAACAGTGTTTACAACATTCAACAACTCCAAGAGTTGATGAGAGGAGAAGGGGAATGTAGAATGAACAAGTGTTGGGATGGCAAACGCAATCAGAAGGAGAAGAAGGCGGTGCTCGTCTTCAGCCAGTACAGGAAGCCCACGGCCAGCGGAATGTGCACCAGCACGCCCACCGACTACGCACACCACGCCCATAACGAAGGTTAGGATCGCGGGACATTGGCAGCACACATCGGCGGTGGAGGAAGGCAGAAGGTACGGAAGCCTTGGGGTAGTCGCGGAGGCAAAAGATGGAGAGGAAGATGTTGTAGATCAACATCCCGAAGCCGATGGCCTGCTTGCCCACGTCGCTGTCCGGCGCTGGCCAGTGTGTGGGTAGGAGAAGTTAGGGCAAGCTGGTTGGGAGGTGAAAGAAGGGGCTAGGGCCAATCGTCTCACCATTTCGCACCAAGAAGGCGGCTGCGCCCAGAGAAATCACTGCGACTGACCACCACCGCACAGCCTCAGCGCCCTGGCCCGTAGTGAGCTGACAAAAGCGAGGCGTTAATCGATTGAATTGATTGATTAAATCGTCGACAAACGTTGCCAGAGGCCTGGCACGCGATAGGAGGGGGCACACCTTGTTGAAGGCGGGTATAGAGCTAGGCGAAAAGAGCGACGCTGCGCCAGCGGCAAGCTCAATCAGCGCACTCACCACGAACAACCACCACATTCTTAGAGATCTCTTCCGTTCTGGTGTCTTTGTTCGTGTCGATCCGTTGAGGTCTGAGCAGCTGTCGTCAGTAATTTCCCTCTTTCCGCGCGTGCCGGAGACAAGAGGGCAGTGGGCCACTGTCACGTCCGGAAGATGAGCCACAGCACGGGCGAAGGTGCTGGATGGCTGCGCGCGGTGGGTGTCGATCTGCTCGCCGGCACCGTCGGTGGCATGGCCCAGGCCCTCGTCGGTACTCCCCCACGCCACCCCTCTCCTTTTTTGCCCCCCCCCCTCAAAGCCTACCAAGGTGCTGGCGGCTTACGTCGCGCTGGCTCGTTCTCGTTCTCCCTGCAACCGCGTTCGTAGGCCACCCCTTTGACACGGTCAAGGGTACGTAAGACCCTCGTCCTCCTGCCTCTGGCGGCAGAGCGCGTGGCTGAATTGCGCTCACCGCGTCTGCTGCCCCCTGGGCTGCCACACACAGTGCGCCTGCAGGCGTCGGGCAGGGTCGGGTTCACACAGTACCGTGGGCCGTGGGATTGCCTCGTGCAGACTCTGCGACATGAAGGGGTACGCTCAGCGGCGGAGGGCGGAAGCGGAGCGTGGAGGGCGTAGTGAGCTGGTGTGCGTGTGTGTGTGCTACACTTGGGATCATTGTGTGGCGATGTAGTTACCTTTGGCGGGGCAACTACTTGACCCTCTCCGCGCGCGGCTTGAGCAGGTTAAGGGCCTGTACAAAGGACTGAGCCCACCGCTGGCCCTGACCGGCTTCACCAACGCGGTCATGTTCGCCATCAACAGCCAAATGAAGAAGATCGTCGCCTCGTTCAAGAGGGACCCTACAAGCCCACTCACCCTGCCACAGGTCCGTGGTAGCGCCCAACTCCACTCTTGTAAGCTCAACCGACGATCGAACGGTGTACACAGATCATCGTCGCCGCCGAGATGACGGCGCCCGTGTACTCCACCATCCTGTGTCCAATCGAGGTCGTCAAGCTGCGGCTGCAAGTGCAAAGTGCAGGTACTGCTGTTGGGTCTCTGGTGGCGCTAGTGTGTGTGAGTGATGATGATGATTGTGTGGCGGCTCTGACTGTGAATGGCTTGGTCCCAGGCACTGAAAAGCTCTACAGCGGACCGATCGATTGCGTGAGGAAGATCTTTCGCAGCGAGGGCGCCAGGGGATTCTTCGCCGGCCTCGCGCCCACCATCGGCACGCGCCTCATTGGCAGTCCCGTCTACTTCGGCACCTACGAGGCCGCCAAGCGATTCCTTCGCCAAGGCGATGAACCGGTACTACCTCGTGCCTCGGCTCTTCACGGTCAATGATGTCGACGTCATTGACTCGGTTTGCGTGGCTAGCCCTCATGGTGGGTGCTGTTGACGGCGGGCGGCATCGGAGGCATCGCGTTCTGGACCGCCAACTACCCGCTCGACTTGAGTGCGCACTCTCCCTTCCTCGCGATGCCCTGCTCCTCCTGATTACGTCGTCTAAACTAACCCTGGTGGGTTGGTGGGTTGTCGTGTCGTAGTCAAAACGCAGATGCAAACGCAGAGGGGGCACGGTGCCGGTTCCTCGCTCGTGGCGACGGTCAAGAACATCTACCACTCCAAGGGTCAGTGTCCTATCATCATCCCTGTTGTGAAGATATGCACCACCTCCTGATGAGCGAGTGATTCGGTGTGCGCAGGAGTGCTCGGGTTCTATCGAGGCTACGTCCCGTGTGTGCTGCGCGCCTTCCCCGCGAACTCGGTCGTGTTTCTTGGCTACGAACTCACCTCCCGAGCTCTCCAACCCAGCAAGGCCTGACCACAGGCAAGCTCTTTGGGTGTACACGAATGATAAGATCCCACTCATTCACGCAAACTTCTATCGTAGTGGCCTGATGCGATTCTGCGATTTGACTGTCAGGACTGACTCAGGAGGTCCCATCACCACTCAGCCCCCAACCCGCGTTCTCTCAATCGGCCCACACCCAGACCTTGAAGGCCGCGACGCAGTAATCAACAGATACAACTTGAAACGTGGCCACGTCCGAACATGCGGCAACTACAACAACAAGGTGTTGTTGGCACCACCTCATGGTGGTGAGGTTGTACAACCGTACCATCATTGGGCCACAGTCTTTCCTGAGCGGGTGGCCAAGGGCTACTCCAAATTCCTCAGACACAAGTAGCCCATTGGGCAGGTAATACGCATAAAATGGGCGGTCCGGTTGGTCTCCGCCTCCGTCATTTTGTTTTGTAGTTTTGTTCCCGCCCTCCGGTCCTTCGCCCTCCTCCATCTTCTGAATCTGTCGAGGATGGTTGCCGCCGCGGCCCTTGAGCTCTTCTCCGCGCATCCCTTCATATTCGGCCCGCTGGTCCTCGTGGCCCTCCTCGCTCTCATCGTCAAAGTCCGTGAATGGCGCAAGGTATTCCATCAGACCCTTGTGGTTGCCCATAGATTTCGCCTCATCGACCCCCTCATACGTGCATGTTTATGCATGGTTTTCACATTCAGCTTGGAATGCGAGCGATTTCTCACTACTTTTGTTAATTTCAATTTCTCTGATGCAGTACGGCGGCTACAACCTGCCGCCGGTGGTTTCCTCGCTCATCCCGTTCGTGGGCAGCGGCCTTAGCTTCGCCGGTGGTCCTCTCCAGTACACCACCGACGCCTACAAGAAGGTACAGCTCCTCCTGCTCCCCCTCTCCCATTTGTTCTATTTTTGTATTTTGCAACTTTTTGTATTTTTATTTTGTTTTTATTTGTCCGAAATTATTATTGGTTATTAATGCACGCGCACTGACTGCCTTCCTCCGCATGTGGATCAAACGTTGTCGTGTGTGTAGTATGGCGACATCTTCACGATGAAGGTGTTCGGCCAGCGTCTCACGTTCCTGGTCGGCCCCGATGCGCACGTTCCCTTCTTCTCTCAGGTACGGAGGAGTCCCCGCTTGGCTTCTACCTCTATACGGTCTGGTAGAGTGGCAGTGACTCGCCACCATCGACCAAACGTTGACCGCCCCCTTTTTCGCTGCAGGGCGACGCCGAGCTGTCGCAGGACGAGCCCTACCAGTTCTCGGTCCCCATTTTCGGCCCGAACGTGGTCTACGGCGCCGATCTGGCCCACAGGAACCAGCAGCTGAAGTTCATTGCGGCGAGCTTGAGCACCAAGGCTCTCCAGTCCTACGTGCCCCTCATCGTCAAGGAGGCCGAGGACTTCTTCGCCAAGTGGGACAAGTCCGGCGTACGACGCCCACCACCACCTCTTGTTTTTGGCGTTGCACCGTTCCACTTCGGTTAAGAGCTCACCACGACACGGGGGCGTCGATGCACACAGACTGTTGACATCAGGGACGCGCTGGCCGAGCTGATTATTCTGACGGCCAGCCGTTGCCTCATGGGCAAGGAGATCCGCGAGAACCTCTTCACCGAGGTGGCCAAGCTGTACCAGACGCTCGACGAGGGACTCCTCCCCATCAGCGTCTTCTTCCCCTACCTCCCCATCCCCGCCCACAAGCGGTACTGTTACCTGCTCCCCCTCTTCCCTTTCCCTCCTTTCCGGGCAGTAGCGCTCACCACCATGGCCGCGGTGGTAACAGGAGGGACGAGGCGAGACTGGCGATGGTGCGTATGTTCAAGAAGATCATCGACGAGCGCAGGGCCAACCCCGAGGTCAAGCACAACGACTGTCTGCAGGTGTTCATGGACGCCCGCTACCGTGGCGAGGAGCAGGCGCTCAACGATGAGGAAATCACCGGTACGTCTGCACCCCTCTCGGGCGCCCATTCGTCCTAGATGCGTGTCTCTGGTGACTCACCCAACACTTCACGTCGCGACAGGTCTGATGATTGCTCTGCTGTTTGCTGGTCAGCACACTTCGTCGGTGACCGGCTCGTGGACTGGTCTCCTGCTGTTCGAGGCCAACAACAAGAAGAAGTTCCTCCCTGGCGTTTTGGAGGAGCAGGAGGTGTGTGCCTATTCCAGCAGAGCATGTAACGCTATCACGTGCACGTTACTGACTCGTCGTGCTACGCGGCCTCGCAACGAACACAGGAAATCAGAAAGGAGTTCGGCGACGAGCTGACGATGGAGGCTCTCAACAAGATGGACAAGCTGCACCGCTGCGTGAAGGAGGCTTTGCGCATGTACCCGCCCCTTCTCTTCGTCATGAGGAAGGTCATCAAGCCCTTCTCCTACAAGGACTACTACGTTCCCGAAGGTGCGCCCACCCCTCCCCGGTGCAGTCGTGCCGTTCCGTTGAATTGAAAATTGAAGGCATTGGCTGATTTTATTTTTATTTCTCAGGTGATACTGTATTCGTGTCGCCGGCTCTCAGCATGCGGGTGGAGGAAGTGTTCCCTAACGCCGATCAGTACAACCCCGAGCGGTTCGTGGAGGAGGACAAGCAGGCCCAGAAGTACCGCTTCGTCGGCTTCGGCGCCGGCCGTCACGGCTGCATGGGCGAGAACTTTGCCTACCTCCAGATCAAGACCATTTGGTCCGTTCTCCTGCGCAACTTCGACATCGAGCTTGTCGGCGAGCTCCCCAAGCCCGACTACACCGCCATGGTCGTCGGTGCGTGCCTCAATCAACCTTACAACATGCACCTGCACCTATCACTCAAAACCTCATGCTTGATATCTTCATGTGTCTCTCTACGGTGCAGGTCCCGCTCACCCGTGCCTTCTCAGGTACACCCGTAAGTAAGAAGGCGAACGTGAGCAATCACACCTCCCTGGCCCACGCCACATCAACGCCACATTTTTGTCTTGGTTTTTCACGCCACCGCTGTTGGTGGCCTCCGCACCCGAACGTGTTCACCATCACCCGAGGCCACCATACCAACGCGCCACCACCACTCTATGTCTCTACCTCATGTCCTCTCCAATACATCTCTTCAACGCAGCCCCCACCCGAGACGCCTCTGCAGAGAAAATAAGGAAAATAAGAAAAGGTTTGGGCAACCAACGGACACAAAGCTAAGGATTGGAGAAGAGGGTCGGTCGAGAGACCACTGTTGATGCTCATAACGCCCCCGGTAAGATTCGCCACATCTTCTACAACATCAGCTTCTACATCTGCCAACTCTTCAGAATCACGCCGACCTCGCTACGTCAAATTAGATTTATCCGATTTAGGCGATTTGTTGATCGAGAGAAGCGCATCCGAGCCATCAACCTCTGCTCACGCCCCTCAGCTGCCATTCCGCCGCGCCAGTCGAAAGAATCACAAAGAATCGCCACACAATTCGCCTGGGCGAACAATGGATTCCGTGCCGCCACCTCCCCCCATGCGACGATCTTTTCCATCCCTCGCCGCCGTTGAAGATGAAGAGCCCCTTCCCACGCCCACAGGTGCCTGTGTTAAGCCTCAACGATTGACGCTGCATCGCCGGATGCTAACCACACCCGGGGAGGAGAGCAGCAGCAGGACCTGCCGACTCGTTGGCTGAGGTGAGCGAGGACGCACTCGCACAGGCCGTGAGCAAGCGGCTGCGCGACTTCACCGAGCTCAAGACGAAAGTGCAGGCGCTCGAGCTGGCGATGGCCGTGGTACGAATACTTACTCCCCGATCTGGGCGTGTGTTCATTGCCTCGAGGTCTTGGTTCCAAGGAGGACGCCAGATCCCGGGAGTGGGTCTGCCTCGGTACTCGTGTTGACGTTGTTGGTGGTGTGGTGCAACTGAAGGTGGCGGAGGAGAACCGAGCCCTCAAGCAGAAGCTAGCGGACAAGGACAGGGAGTGCGTGGAGCTGCAGAGGGAGGTGGGCGAAGTGCAAATGAAGATGGCCGAGATCATCACCAACATCACCCACCTCAACGATGCCAGCGTCGCCGAGCGAAGGTCCGCCTCCGCTGCCGGCCAGCGAAAACCTCAATTCTAGTCCTTGCCTTGGCGGTGAGGCGCCTTTCAAGACTTAGACTTGAACGAGATTGTACATGACGAGGAGGAAAAGGCCGACGCGTGTTGCGCCATACCAGCAGCCACATAAGTAGCCCGGGCGTTGATAGAACTAGCTTTCCTTTTGTTACACGCTTCGTGGATCGGTGGAATTTGAATTTGCACGTTGGAATGTTTCGTAAATGATTGCTTAACAATTAGGTAATTCTTTGCATTCTTGGACAGGAAAAGAGTTTTGCGGTTGCAAAGCCGAAAAGATCTTGTGAAGCCGGCCCACTCCGCAACCGTACGCGAAGACACCAAAGCCGCGGACAAGAGCTTGACCGTAGTGTCGTCTCGCTTGGCCGTCTCGGAGTGTTGTTGTTCGACAAGTTTATGCCCGTGGAGCTGGAGGCCTCTGCTCCTGGTCCTTGATAATCACGCTTGGCCGCCCTTCAGGCGCCTGCACGTTAAAACCGCTCCGTGCGTCGATCCCTCCTCCGGTGGTCCTGACTATCATGTCTTCGCCACTAAGCCACGCTTCACTGGTACTCGCCTCCTCTACTCTCCTTGGCCTCTTTGGCTTCTTATCCCCCCCCCCTTCGTTCTGTGCGTCGTAGCTCCGGTCTTATTGTAAAACTCTCCACCCTTCGCCAATTTTAATCTTTGCTGCTGCGCTGCTGGTGCTGGCACGGACAGGGTGTGGCACTGCTGGAGGGCAAGCTACACAAACACTCACCCAAGAAAGCGCGAGTGAAGCGCTGGCAGAGGCGACACTTCGTCCTCACCCCCTCCGCGCTCACCTACTACAAGAAAAAAGGAGGTACGCAGGCACTGTCCTCCCCGCGGACCGCCTGGTCCTTTTTCCTCTCTGCCGCGACCGGTGTCGTCGTTCGCTGGCGACCAGCACCCGCCAATCGGCTTTTAAACTTTTATGTGCGAGGCTTCGTTGCACAAAATTATGCTGATGGCTGTGTGTGGGTGCGTTACACTGGTGGTGCAGATGCAACGCCGTTGGGCGTGGTCGACGTGGCACATATCATACGGGTCGATGTGCAGGGCGGTAGCCGAGCCACCACCAGCGCGGCCGACAGTCCCAGCTCCTCCAGTAAATCGGACGCGGGCAAGCGCAAGGTGTTCGATGTGGAGACCTCGTCGGGCCGCGTCTACGTGCTCGCCGCCGACACCGACGACAACGCCAGGCGCTGGGTGGAGACCCTGCATCTCGTCCTCCAGGCGCCCAAGATCTCGACGCCCTCCGCGCCCCTCTCTTGGACACAGAATGAGGCCCCTGACCTGCCTGGTACGCGCCAGTTACATTCGTTGAATGCTTCGTGGCACACTGCACTGGGGGCTGACTGGTGATTGGAACAGTCGAGGAGGCGCGAGCGGTGCCGATCGTCGCGTTTCGAGGGCTGGAGCACGGGCTCTCGGGTCTCAAGAAGTCGCCCACAGCCGCCGGTAGCAGCACCGCCACAAAGAGGGAGGAGGAGGAAGGGGTGAGCCTGCTCCCGGGCGAGCGGGTGCTAACCAAGCAGGACAGCGTCTTCATCTCCCAGCACCACCGCAGTGATGGGCGCTGGGGCCACTTCTGGATGACCACCTACCGCTTCATCTTCTTCTCCAAGGTGATCCTGATCCCCCCAGTGGGTCCCGTGCCGTGTTGTGTCGTGTCCGATGACCCAACGCTCACCCTCCTTTTTATTTTATTTATTTTATTTTTGTTATTCTTTTTTTGTGCAACAGAACGCACAGGATGAGTCGGTTCCGCTTTCGCTTTTGACAAAGGTGGAAAGTGCGAAGCACGAGGAAAGAGATCTTTCCGGGTTCCTCCTTTCGTGCAAGGACTTCCGCGTCATCTCCCTCTTCTTCCTCCACCCCGAATCCCTCGGCACCATCAACTCCCTCTTCAAGCACCTCCTCTTCCCGCCCAAGATCGGGTACCCACCCACTCAGCCTCCCATCACTGTGCGTGATATCACTATGAGTCGGCCGTGCCACAGCAGTCAAGGCTAACGGCGTTCATGGCGGCGCACAGTGACCTCTATGCGTTCCAGAGCGAGGAGAAGTTCCCGCTTCGCTCCGAGCTCCAGGGGTGGCCGCTCTACCGCATCGACAAGGAATTCGCACGGCAGCAACTCAGCGGCGATCACTGGCGAGTGACCACCTACAACAAGTCCTACAGCTTGCCCCACTTCCCCAACAGCTTCATCGTCCCCGCTTCCCTCTCGGACGGTGCGCCCCCCGTGGCGTGTGCGGTGGGGCGTGTGTAGGCGACATATCGGACTTGGCTCACCTGCCCTCCATTGGTCACGCACAGATATGATTGGAAAATTGGGCGAAGGAGTGAACAAGTGGCAGCGGTGGGTGCTGGCCCTCTGCTGGCAGAACAGCAAATCCGTGGCCAGGGGCTGTCTGCTTCGCACGTCGGAGTTCACGCTCACCAGCGACCCGTCGGTATCGCTAGCGTCGAGCCCGTTCGACGGCAAGCGCACCGAGTCGAAGCGTCTGGAATCCAAGCGCGGCAACCACCAGCCCATCGCCGAACAGCGCAGCATGCTGGGCGAGGTGTTGCTTCTCCATCCGCGGGCCGAGGCACTGCATGTCTTCAACACCTCGCTCGTGCGGAAGAAATTCACCTACCTCGCTCCGACCGAAGCAGCGCCCGGCGCTGTGGAGACCATCAAAGTCGGTTCGTTCCCGTCCAGCACTTGCTAACGCGATCAATCCAATGCTGCTCTTGTCATGCCACCAAACTCATCAGTTCGCGCGTGTGCAGAGACTGGGCTGATCGTGACCCACAACACGGGCCTGTTGGCGCCCGCGCTGGTGAGCCGAAGCCTGCTGAAGCTCTCGTCGCTCATTCAGAGCTTCGACCCGAACAGCTTCACGCGCGGCCAACAGAAGAAGCCGGGCGCGGGCGACAAAAAGCGAGAGGACGAGGTGCCGCTGCACAGGCTGAAGGAGTCCTGGGAGGAGGCGCTCGATTCCACGCACTGGCTCGAGAGCATCCGACAGCTGCTCAACACCACCTCGGAGGTGGTCAACCTCATGCAACGCGGCGAACCCGTACGTTGCAATCAACTCATGATGCTCGTGACTACCAACGCACCTTGGACATCTCTGACCTAGTCTGCGTCAAGGTGGTCATCCAAAGCTCCGATGGCGACGGCGCGGTGCCGCAGGTGACAAGCCTTGTCCAGGTGTGACTCCTCCAGCCTTTGATTGGCCACGAAATGAACGAATGCTCACCGGCATGCTCTTACTCTTACCCCGCAGGTGTGCTTGGACCCGTACTTCCGCACCGTCGTTGGTTTCTGCTTCCTGATCGAGAAGGAGTGGATGGCCTATGGTTCGTGTCCCTCTCCCCCGCCCGCGTACTATCTGGCTGGTGGCGCTCTCTCATGTTTGTTGTCGTTGGCGCGCGCCTGTAGTGCACAAGTGGGGCCAGCAGCACAAGAACAAGTATCAGCCCAAGCAACACTCGCACATGTTCACACAGTTCATCGACGCGGGTGCGTGGCCGTTCTTCATTCGCGCGTGCGGGCTTGGTTTTTTGTTGACACTCGCTCGTGCGCCAGTGTGGCAACTGTGGAGCCAAACGCCACAGGCGTTCGAGTTCGACAACGTGCTCCTGCTGTTCCTCCTCGAGTCCGTGTACAGCGCACGCTTCGGCTCTTTCCTCGCTGATTGCCAGAAGGACAGAATCAAAGGTAACTCCTACCTCCGGAGACACGCGAATTCGGAGTTAAAAACAACAGTCGCCTGACCCGCACGCGCGCTTCTTCCAGGCAAGCTGCTGCTTTCCTCGAGCACGGTTTCGGTGTGGAGCTACATCCACGAGAACGAGGAGCTCTTCCGGAGCGACCTCTACCAGCCCAATCTGTCGATTCCTCTCCAGCCGCAGCCCAACGACGTCAAACTGTGGACTGGTACACCATCGGCAACCGTTGCGCGCAATCGCCGCGGTGGTGGTACTCACACAGTCTTGGGGCGGGGTGATCGCAGAGTACTATATGCGCTGGGCCTGTTACTCTTCAACGGAGCAGGCCGTGAAAGCCATACGCCTCGAGACCTCTAAAGGTAAGTCATCATGTACAAACATATGGTTGCTGGTGGCTCATCGCTGACGATGTCAAATTATGATGGTCTTCGGCGCACACAGCCGACCACGACGACGTAAGCGATGTCGAGCTCAATCTGAGCAATCACCTCCTCTACACGGTGCCTCCATCTATTCTCCCCGTACCGAGGCTCACCGCCCTCGACCTCTCGCAGAACTTCATCAGCACCCTGGCCTTCAGCATCTCGCCTCTATCGTCGCTGCGGTCGCTCGACCTGTCCCACAACCTGCTGACCTGCCTGCCCACCCACCTGGTGGCCTCGCTGCCGCAGCTCGTCCACCTCGCCAGCCTCAGCCTCGCGCACAATCGGCTGTGGGACCTCTCGGCGCTCCCCTCCCACCAGCTCCGCGCCCTCACCCACCTCGACCTCTCCCACAATCGCCTCTCCGCCATGCCCGCGCACCTGTCGTGCTTGACCCGCCTCCAGGTGCTGAGCCTCGCCGGCAACGCCTTCACCGGCGGCAATGGTGCGTCACCCCCCCCCAATGCGCCAGACCTGCGTCGGACTTATAAATGACTGTGATCAAACTCCTTGGCTACAGGAAAGGAAGGCGTGCCAGAGGTGCTTCATTTGGTGCCGTCGCTGGTGTCGCTCGATCTGGCCCACAACGCGATCAGCTCGCTCTCGGCGCGGTTCTTTGCCAGCCTCACGGGGCTCGAGTCGCTGAACCTCTCCAGCTGCTCGCTCGTCAAGATCGAGCCGGGCCTCTCGCACCTGGCCAAGCTGCGCGTGCTGCACCTCTCGAACAACCCCCAGCTATGCGAACTGCCCGGCGATTTGTGGCAGCTGTCCTCCCTCGAGGAGTTCCACGCCCGCAACTGCCTGGGCTTCGCCCGACCGACCAAATCGGCCGACGCGCCCACGTCACCGCCGACCGGGCTGCACGGATCGGTGCTTCTCAGGAAGAAGCGCCTCGGCACTGTTCGCATCGGCATCCCTGCGTACGTAGAATTCCTCAAAAACAGTCGCCTCATTTTCAGTACTCCTCTCACTGGGCGGAGCGCATGTGTGTTGTGTCCATGGCAGAGCGGAGACGCCGGACACCGCCAACACCGCGGCGGCACTGCCGGTCGAGTTCGGGTTCCTGGGGCAGCTGCGCACGCTGGACATCGCCAACAACGCCATCGCGTCGATCCCGGCCGGGTGCTTTGTCAAGTGGAGTCGCCTGGAGCGGCTCCTGGTCAACGACAACCGGCTCACGGCGCTGAGCGCGGATGTCGGCTCGCTGAGCGCGCTCAAGGAGCTGGACCTGCGCAACAACCGGCTGCGCGCGCTCACCGCCGAGATCGCCAACCTCAAGCAGCTGACCAAGCTGAACCTCGAGGGCAACTGGATCGCCGAGTTGCCGGCCCAGCTGAGTACCATGCAGCTCCACTCGCTCGAGGTGGGGCCACAACACGGGTGCATTCGGTACGTAGTGACCTACAGCCTCTCCTCGATGAGGCCACCACATTCCTCTAATATCTTGTCTCGTGTTGTGTATGGCTGCAGTTCGCCTCCGCCGGAGATCGTGTCGATGGGGTCGTCGAGCGTCATCTCGTACTTGAGCCAGCTTCTGCGGGGCCAGCAGCTCTGCTTCCGCATGAAACTCATGTTCGTGGGCCAGGAAAACGTCGGGTACGATGTGCGCCGGGCTCAGTCTGAGACTACCGCACTGTGGCTAACCTGGTGAAGCGCATATTCTCCGCAGGAAAACGTCACTGCTTCGCGCCCTGCAGCGGAGGGAGAAGAAGATCAGGTCCTTAGTCCGGTCGCCCAGCGCGAAGCTGGTCCGCCAGATCGCCGTGCTTGACGACGACAATAGTACACGCCCGCTCTCTCCCAATCCACACCCTTCGGCTCAGGTTTTAACTCCGATTCTCTTCTCATGTGCAGCCAACGCCGTCCCCCTGTCCACCGACGGTATTGAGATCAACCCGTGGAACCTTGCCATGCCCTGGGGCAACGACGCGCCGATGATGGAGCTCTCCGCCTGGGACTTTGCTGGTTTGCTTTCAACACCACCACCCTCCCAGAATGGGTGTTGTCGAGGTTGCTGACACACGTTGTGATGCAGGCCAAGAAATCTACTACTCCACGCACCAGTTCTTCCTCTCGGAACGTTCGCTGTACGTGGTGGTGTTCAACCTGCTCGCTCCCGAGCAGTCCCACGTCGAATACTGGTACGCGGCCAACCTCAGTCGCTCCAGCTTGCATTCTTGTGTCTCATGAGAATGCTCACCTTGGTACTGCACGCAGGCTGCGCTCCGTCCGCACTGCGGGAGGAAACTCGCCGATCCTCCTGATCGGCACCCATGCCGAGGACGAACGATGTACCGATGACTATCTCAACATCATGCAGCAGAGGTACATTCCTCTCATTCCTGCGTTCTACTGCAAATTCCTTGATTGGTGCATGCTGATGGGCCTCCATTTTATTCCAGGTTGACGAAGAAGTACTGCGCCCGGTTTCCCAACATTTTGGGCATCCACTTCGTGAGCTCCCTCAACGGCAAGGGCATGGACGCGCTGCTCGGCAGCCTCCAATCCATCATCGCTAATCAGGCACGCCTCTTGCTCCGCCCCTCCCCCTCCCCCTCCGCGTGTGCGTGTGCGGTGGTGCGTGTGCGTTTTTCTGACGATCGAGTGCAGGAACATATGGGCCAGCCGGTTCCTTCCAACTACCTGGAGCTGGAAAAGCTGCTGGTGGCGCAGGGCAAGGAACGCATGCCGCCCATCATGTCCTGGGACGAATTCCGGTCGTTGGCCCGGCTGTGCCTCATCGAACGCGAGCACGACCTGCTGGCCGCCACCTCGCTGCTGCACAACTTTGGCTCGCTGGTCCACTTCCCCAACGACGAAAAGGTGCGCGCGCATGTCCGTCCCTCCGAGGGTGTTGCAAGTGTAGTGGGCGCTGATGTGTGGGTCGGTGCAGCTCAAGGACGTGGTCATCCTGGAGCCCCAATGGCTGATGAACGTCATGTCCACCGTCGTGTCGACCAAGCACAACTACTGCAAGTACGCCACTTCACTCCTCCCACTTCTTTCTTCGCCTCTCGAACAGCTCCCTGTTGACCAGCACGCTCGCACCGCACGCACGCACGCGGACCACCGCACACGCACAGACAGGAACGGAGTCATGCCTCACTCGGCGTTGCCCCACATCTGGAGGGTGCCCACGTACCCGCCGCAGGTGCACCCGTTCATCCTCTCCCTGCTGGAGCGGTTCGAGCTGTCGTTCCCCGTGGGCGCCCACATCCACAAGCTGGGCGACTACGCCGCCCTTCTGCGCTCGGGCGGCGAGGCCGGTTCCAATGCCCCCGCCCCCAGTCTGGAAGAGCCTCTGTACCTCATCCCCTCGCTGCTCCCCGAAGTGCGGCCCCTCAAGCTCTCGTCCCTGTGGCCCCTCTACTGCCGTACGCTTCACCGCACGCACGCACGCCCGCACGCCCGCACGCAAGGAGATGATGCCTTAATGCGCAACACGTGTTCTTGTCACACGTGCAGGTGAAGGCGAGTCGATCTTCGGTCGGTGCTATCGATTCGAGTTCGTACCCAAGGTGCGCACACAAGCTAGGCCTATGCTCACGGTGTCCGGATGATTCGAGTGTTATGTCTGGAGTGAAACGACTCACGACTGGTGCGCGCGCAGGGGTTCATGGGCCGGCTCATTATCCGTCTGCTGGCGTTCCCGCTCGCCGCACAGCTGTATTGGCGCCATGGCATCCTGGCCCACATAGGAAGGTACACTGGCGTGTCGGTGTTCGTCTACGCGCATCTGAGGGGATCTGACGCCTTCATGACGCCAGGGAGCGCATACTGTTGGAGTTGT